AATACGCAGACATTCATTTAATTTACGGTTTTTGCGAAGAAAATGCAGTAGCAGCCGCAAGGGAGTATGCACGCAGATTCCCTAATAGACGTCATCCAACGAGAGAAGTTTTCTCTCAAGTTCATCGGGCATTTCGAGAACGAGGTTTAAATACTACTTTCAACATAAACAACAATAGACAGCGCCCTAGAAGAAACAATTTGGCCGATGAAAGGCGTATTTTAAGAACGTTTGATCGAAATCCAAACCTAAGTTCACGAAGAGCTGCTGTCATGCTTAACATATCAAGGTCAACCATTCTTAGGTCACTTCATAAAGATGGTAGAAAGGCTTATCATTTTAGGGCTGTGCAAGATTTATTGCCTGAGGACTATGTTAAAAGGCGTAACTATTGCAATTGGTTATTGAATAAAGTTCAAGTAGATGGAGATTTCCTGCATAAGGTTTGCTGGACTGATGAAGCTTCATTTACAAGAACTGGTATAACGAATTACCACAACCTTCATATTTGGTCACAACACAATCCATGCGAAGTGCGAGCGAGAAAGTTTCAACACCAATTCAGTGTGAACGTGTGGATAGGGGTAATATCCAATAATCTCCTCGGACCATTCTTTTTACCAGCTAGGTTCTCAGCACAATTATTTTTAGACTTTTTACAGAATAATTTAAATGATTTAATGGATGACGTGCCACTTCATTTACGGGCGAATGGTTGGTTTCAAATGGATGGAGCACCACCACATTTCGGGCGGAATGTGAGAAACTGGATAACAGAGCATTACGGAAATCAATGGATTGGCCGTTTCCCTGGAGAAGTCGAAAATAATCATGAGGGACCTATATCTTGGCCCCCAAGGTCGCCTGACCTGACCCCACTTGATTTCTTTATTTGGGGCTACCTTAAAGAAAAAGTGTACAGGGTGCCGGTCAGAAACCGCGAAGAATTAGTCTTAAAAATTCAAGAAGCTTGTGATGAGTTGCGTCGTAACAATCACATTCTATCGGCAGCAATTAATAGCATCACCAGAAGATGCCAATTATGTATTGACAATGACGATAGTCATTTTGAACAGTTTCTGTAAAAAAAAAACTGTAAAATCTGTTAAATATGTGTAAAACGTGTAATATGTTATTTTTATGTTGGTTTTCAATACATTTGATTTAGACGAATTTTATTTTTTTACTCGAAAATGTTGCGTCATACGAAAAAAAGCCAGGAGTACTTTTTTCTTTTAAATTGAATAAGGATTGCAGATATAATTTTTATTTTGAGATAAACCAGTGGCGTATCTGTTTTTTCATTAAAAATATCGCAATCGGTACCCGTACGCACGCCACTGGTGGAAGTAAAAATAATATTATTACATGAAAAAATGAACCTAGATTACCTCTCTACACATGCCAAATTTCATTTAAATATCTCAATTGGTTATAAAGATATTAATAAAATTCGAATTTTTTTCTTAAACTTTAACACCCTGTAACTTTGTAACGAAGCATTTTTCGCATATAGTTTATTAACCAAACTCACATTATTTGTCGATTATCTATCGATTCTGAAATTTATGCAGGTAAAAGTTGGACCACCCTGTATATTCGGTTAGTCTCGGGCGTCAGTTTCCCTATATTGTACGTGAGGGGAAACTCCACGTAACCCTTGCACTCGGTTTAGGGTAAAGTGGACAGGTAGCTACAGTGAAGAAAATAAATTCCAGGGGTCAATTGTATTTCCTCTTGGAGAAAACAGCAGAGAGTAGTTTTCTCAGTGTAGATTTATTTTAAATATAAAATTAAACGGGAGTCCTACAAAACGGTATCAGCGTTTTTGCTGATTCGGAATGTTATCAGTTTACCTCGGTGTTGAAAGAAATACACCTATCAATTTTTACTGGATTTATTCACGAGGATAATATTAATACTTTGTACAAATACAAATAGTGTTAATCTTAATTTCTACCCGCTACGAAATGACTGGAAATATTTACAAGCTAATTAAACAATAATTATATACAATAACGGTGTTAGAGACAAAACTAAAAGTTGTAAATTTCGGTTTCTACAATTTTTACTTATCACCTTCGAAAAGAAGTAAATGTTTATGAACGAAATCAAAAATGTTATGAACGAAATCAAATTTGTTACTCTACAAGAGTAGACGGTTTTAAGTAATAAAATAAAAGGTGATTTTAAACTGTCTGATGAAGAACTAAAATATTTGTTTGTCGGTCCCAGCTGATTCTGAAAATAAACCAAAATTATACGGAATTATTTCGGAATAATTTACACTCAGGTCGGCGGTTAAATATTGGTAATGTAACGCTCAGGCCGGTGGTTAGATAACGGTAATACGGTCTAGCAAGCAAATGCAAAATTAGTAAGCGGTAAGCGCCATTATTCTATGGCTAGAAATTGGCCTCAATGATTTGGGATCGAGGGGGATTATCCCTCTTTATCCTGCCTCATCTCGTGTAGGCCTGGACAGCCTTCGTAGGTGGGCCCCATCCGTCGTCTACCCCGACCGCAAATGCGGCCGGTGTAGGCGCTTTGTGGGACCTCCTTTTGTCCTGGCTGGGCCCCGCCGGCTAGGGCCCTTTCTTCTGGCGCTCTTCTTGCTTCGCCGGCTCGTCTGTGTAAACCCCGGGGGTAGTGTCATGTTTATG